GAACCCATCAGCCCCAGGACACCATACAACTGTAGTTAGTATTTCAACAAGAGCCAGGCTCTCCCTAACCAGGCGTCAGAAGACACAGAGCCCTCCCTCCTGATCGGATCTCTCTGTCCCTTCAGCCATTGTGTCTTCCGCTGAGATGGGAGGGGAAGGTCCTGGGTGGCCTAAGGAGAAGCAGATCTCCACTCCATGGCTATGGCCGGTGACATTCATTCTTTCTGAATGGAATTCCAGGGAGAGCCAGGCATGGGAGCACGAAAGCTGGCTCCCCTAATTTGTTGTGGCATTCACGCAGGGCCTACTTCTGACTTGAAGGTTTACAAACATACCCGAAATGTTTCTTAAATTAAAAATCAATCCAACAGGCACCAGTCAGCGTGCTGCATCATAACTGGATGTGTAGACAGAGCAGAAGTGGCGAGGGAAATTTCTACCGTTTTCATCAGCTTGTGGTACTGCTTTATAATTTTTTATTGTATCCCACTAATATTTCTCATTAGGGCTTGAAATTCCTAGGGCTCTCGTAGGTATTATCTGGATTGTACTACTTGTCACGATGTGTCAGGGGGTATCACGCATCTGCGATGCTTGGGCCACATGGGCTCTGAACAAATTCCTTCTACTTGTTTGTAAATTCCAGACAACAGATTCTATGGCCAGCATAGAGGTAAGAAACAGTAAGGCAAGGAAATTAATATCTGTGCACACTACTACTTAATGGGCACTTTATATTTTCATATTTCATAGAACCCAGACAACCATCTGTGAACTTGACAGCACTGCCACCACCTCATGGATAATCAGGTGAGGTTCAATAAGGCAAAGTCACTTGCTCAAACTCACACAGCTGGGGAGTGGCCCACGTGGACTTCAAATCCAGGTCTTTTTTTTTTTCGACATAACCTTATGTCTCCTAAATATCTACCATGTGCAGAGGCCTTTGTAAGGGTGTTCCAATCTAGCCATTATTAACTGGATTCCAAAAACATGTCAAGGGCTTTTTACAGAGAATCTCTTATTTAATTCCAATCAGAACCCTAGGACAAAAACATTTTAAAATCTATCTTATAGGAGAAGAAAACAGAAACCCAGAGATGTTAAGTGACTTGCCCAAGATCACCAGCTGAGGATTGAAGGAGTTGGTGGGATTTGAACCCAGGCCTCTCTGTCCTTTGGTCTAGCACCTTTTGACCCAGCATCACAAGGACTAAGATTTTGGTGCTGGTATCATTTAGGGAGTCTTTGAATGTATGTCAGGGCTAAGTACTGGGCATGCGTTCCCTCATTTGGTCTTTACAACAGGCTCAGGGGTAATTATAATAATGATATAATTATCATTTCCAGATGACAGATGAGGAAACTGAAGCTTGGAGTGTGAAATGACTGTCTGGAAGTCAAGTTGAAAAAGCAGCCGGGCCACAAAGAACCCCACAGAGCCTGACTCCAGGGACCAAGTCTCACTCACTGTTATGCCACTTTTTACTCTGATTACACAAAGTAGGTCAGGTTTCCTTGGTAGCCACTGCCGCTAATCTTGATTTGGAATATTTTGCTGACAATCTGAATGAGATACTAGGAGGTGTGAATGCGACAGAGGATAGACAGTGATGCCTGGAGAGACAGGAACCTGGGTTCATGCAGTGCTCACTCATCTGTATAGATTATAGTGTCCGGGCTTTGGGGACCTCATCAGAGGGGCCTGAGAAGCAGACACACCGCCTGGAACGTGGAGGATCCGAGTTTATTTTCCTTTTAAACGCCAGGGAGAAGAACGAAATGCACGTGTGAAAAGAAGGGCTGGTGTAGCCAGGTGACTTATGAAGGGGACTGTGTGGTGGGAGAGAGCTTGGGCACCCAAACCGAAAGCTGGGTGAGAGGTCAAATGGACATGAGACGTTTAGGGACTGGTCAGGCATCCCAATGGAGCCATACAGGACGCCTGACAGATTTGAGCCGGAAGGGCTGGCCACCTCCCCTGGCGTCCCCGAGGCCCTCTGCCATCCAGCTCCTGCTTACCTGGTCAAGTTTATCTACTCCTCTTTTCTTCACTCCTGCACCCTAAGCTCCAGCCAAACTCAGCTCTGTGTCTCCCCTAGGCCTGATGTCTTCTCAGTCCCGTGAACATGCTTCATGCTCTACCTTGGGAAGCCTTCCTTCTCTCCTTCTGTGTCTCCTACCTTCAGTACCCAGCCTCCAATTCAACTCCAGTGACACCTTCCCTTGGACACACTCCCTGTCTCTTCCTATCTCCACCTCCGGCTGGGATGGGGGATCCTCCCTGGACTCTCATGTTGGTGCAGCTCCTGCTGGCACTGGAACACTTTATTGGCAGACCCGTTTACCTTGCCTGTCTGTGGCAGGCAGAACTCTGCCAGGGACCCCAAGCTTTCCCTGAAGGATAGGCGCTATATGATCCACTGCCCTTGGGTGTGGGCAGAACCTGGGAATATGATGGGATATTGCACCATGATCATGTTGCATCACAGAAAATTCTGTCCTAACAGACCAGAGACAGATCCTCCTGCTGGCCTCGCACAAGTGGTCTGCCATGCTGGGAGGGCCATGTGGCTAGGAACTCAGAGTGGTTTCTGGGAGCTAGAGAAACCCCAGTCAACAGCCAGCAGGGAAATGGTCCGGGACCTCCATCCTAGAACTGAATTCTGCTCAAACCTGCATGAGCTTGGACATGGATGCCGACCCCCCAGATGCCATCCCAGTTCCACTTACGCTTCAATTCCAGTGCTGAAACCATGAGCAGAGGACCCTGCTAACAGGCATCCAGATTCCTGACCCATAGAAACTGTAAGGGCACACACATGAGCTTATTATTATTATTTTTTTGAGTTGGAGTCTTACTCCGTCACCCATGCTGGAGTGCAGTGGCATGCTCACAGCCACCCCACCGTCAACCTGCTGGGCTCCAGCGATCCTTCCACCTCAGCCTTCCGATCAGCCGGAACTACAGGCGCACGCTACCATGTCTGGCTAATTATTTATTTATTTATTGTAGAGATGAGGTCTTGCCAAGTTGCCTAGGATGTTCACAAACCTGTGGGCTCAGGCAAACCCCTCACCTTGGCCTCCCAAAGTACTGGGATTATAGACTTGAGTTACTGCATCCAGCCAAATATGTGCTTTTTACAGTCGCTAAGTGACAAAAGAGAAAAAATGCCTGGTCCTGAATAGACTGTACACTCTGTGAGGACAGGGATAGGGATTTTTGACATGTATTGCTAGTCCCTCAAGAGCCTGGCACACGACAGCAAAAACGTTTGAGCAATATTTGCTGAGTGATCACATGAATTTGGATGAGAAAACCCTGGCCACAAAAAGGGATCGACCTTGCTAGAGATCACACAGCAGGTCATGCCTGGAGCTGGTGCCAGAACCTCCATGCTTTTCCCTTTTGAGCCATTTTGTCTTGACCTGTTACCTGCTATGATGTGCAAGTTCTCTGCACACTAGAGTCTTAGAGGCCTTTCTCTAAGCTTTTCTAGAGCCTGTGAATCCCCAGGAGACGACCAACCATTGAAGCCACTGAATTACGCGTGTGGTCATTCGCTCATGCGTGGCAGGCTGCACCGAGCTGGGTATCCACTTGCATAAGCCATTCTCAATGTGAACCATTCCCAGTTTGCCTCCCCAGGCAAGGTTCCACTCACTTCCCAGAGCTTCCAGACAACTCTGGGGGAGGCTTTTCATGTCTGGGTGCTTGTCTATTCATTTGTTTTGCTCATTCTTCAATCATTCATGACTAATAGCAACTGACATTTATTGAACATTTATTACATGTCAGGCACCATTTGCATCACTGTACAGGCATTAACTCATTCTAGGACAAGCCTATGGAATCTCACCGGCAGGCTAGATAGGCATCTCTGAGGTGGCTAGAAAGATGGAATGAGTCAATTAAACTTCCTTCCTAATTGTGGGAGCTGATGGGGAATGACATGACAGGAGCAGGGGCAAGGGCAGCCACCATGGACCATGTATAGAGGAAGTAGAAGCTGATCAGCCAAGGTGGGAGGGGGCACCTAGAATGGCCAGGTATAGAAAAGCTGTGTAGCCCTGGGTAAGTGACCTCAGGCTTCAAATTGATTTATAGTTTAAAAACATAAATTAGATCATATAGCTGTGTAAATTTCTTCGATAACCTCTTACCACACATAGAATAAAACCCAAATATCTCATGAGCCCCTAATATTCTATAAACTTATCTCACGACCTTTTCTTCCTAATCCTGTTATGCTTCAGCCACATTGGTTTCCGAATGTGAAGGCATCCTTCCCAACACAGGCCCTTTGCACTTGCTATCTCATCTGCCTGGAAAACCCTTCTCTTAGCAATGCCCCTTTCTAAGACTTCCTCTGACCATACTGCCAAAGAAGGTCCCAACTTGACAATGGAATTATTGATCCCAGTTCCTTCAAAGCACTTCCTGCAACTATCATCATTCTATTTAATTATTTATTCCTGTTTAGACCATCTAGCCCCCTGTTCTCAGCCCTGCCTACACATTGCAAGCTTAAAACAAAACGATGCCAAGGGTGACCAAGAGATTCTTACTTAACTGGTCTGCAAGGGAGCCTAGACATAAACGTGTTATAAGAGCTTCCCAGTGATTCAATCTATCCCCGGCCAAGGCTGGGAAGCAGCGCATGAAACGACATCAGGGCAGGACTCGTGTCAGTACTGCCTGGAGATGCTTGACGGATGCTTGCTGCATCAATACACACAGAAGGGAAAGAAACAGCATCGCTTTCCAGCAGCAACTGCGGCTCTGGGTTACACACTCCTTTTCCTTGAGGAAACCTAAATAGAGCTTTTCCTCTTAAGGACAGATCCTTTCCTCTGCCTTCAAACAACGAGCCCAACCTTATCAGACATCATTCTTCTAAGCCCGTGAGCCATCTCTCCCTTCTCCATCCTCCACACAAGAAGCAATAGTGAGGAGAACGGTGCAGGGTGGGTGAGGGAGGGACCATCGGCCATACCTGTCCATGGAGAGCTGGGCGACCAGGGTGACGTCTGTGCCATCGGCTGCTGGCTCATACTCGTAGTGCAGGAAGTAGAGGTGGGTACGGTGGACGGTGAAGCGCTCTCGCCGGAACTCGTAGCATAGGTCGTCCTCATCCAGCTCAGACAGCTGCTTCTGGAGCTGCAAGGTAGGAGACTGGGCTTGGGGACCAGAAGACAAGGTCCGAGGGGCCCACGAGCCTGCCCTTTGTGCCCTGTGCTCCCCTGAGGTGATCACCTATTGGGACACTGTTCACGGGTCAAACACAGATGAAGAGGATCATCGTTTTTATTTCTCCCTGCAATTTCATCTAATTTCAAAAAGATGATGATGAAAAGAAGCCTGCCTTCACCATCTGAGAAGTGAGTCCCCTCTTAGCTAAGAACGGAAGTGGTGCTCGCTGACAGATGTATAGCCCGCCAGAAACTCCTCAGAAACAAACCAGAGATGTTTTCCTAGACAATGCAGCACAATTATTTCAAATAACACAGGAAAAACACCCGCAGAAGAGAACAAACAAAATTAAAAAGGACTTCAGTGCCATCTGATGCTCATCTCTCCCTAGAGCTATTGATTTCAACCTTTGTACCATTTATTAGAAAAAAAAATAAAACCAACGTATATACAAGACAGCTCTCTTCCTTTCATTTCACACAAGTTTAATCAGAGTCTCAGTACTCACATTTTTTTCTTCTCTTTTTTCAAACTCTCTGAAAATCTTATTTCATTAATCTGCTCAAGAAGTCCTTTACCTAGCTCTATGCCTCTCCTTCCTTCCCCACCTTGTTTTTTTGTTTGTTTGTTTGAGTCATGGTCTCAATGTGTTGCCTAGGCTGGACTACAGTGGCATGGACCTGGCTCACTGCAGCCTCGACCTCCTGGGTTCAGGTGATCCTTCCTCCTCAGCCTCCCAAGTAGCTGAGATTACAGGCATGTGTCACCACACCCAGCTAATTTTTTGATTTTTCCTTTTTTTTTGTGGAGACGAGTTCTCGCGATATTGCTTGTTTCGAACTCCTGAGCTCAAGCAAGTCTCTCTATTCGGCTTCCCAAAGTGCTAGGATTGCAAGCATGAGCCACTGCACCCAGCCCTTTTCGCAACTCTTCAAAAGGGCAGGCTAACTTGCCAATAGGGAGCTAAGGAGTCAGCATTTCAGATATGCAGATGCAGACACACAGATCTGCAACTGTCTAACAGACATCATCTCACGTAAACTCCACAATAACCCTACAAGGCAGGTATCATGATGCCTGTTTTACATATGAAAAACTGAAATTAAAAAGTAAAACAGGCTGGTTTGGTGGCTCAGCTGGTAATCCCAGCACTTTGAGAGGCTGAGGCAAGTGTACTGCTACTGCCTGAGCCCATAGGTTCAAGACCAGCCCAAGCAACTTGATGAGACCTCATCCCTACAATAAATCAAAAATTAGCCAGGCGTGGTAGCATGTGCCTGTAGTTCCAGCTACTTGGAAGACTGAGGTGGAAGGACTGCGGAGCCCAGCAGGTCGAGGCTGTAGTGGCCGTGAGTGTGCCACTGCACTCCAGCCTGGGAAATGGAGTGAGACTCCAACTCAAAAAAAAAAAGTGAATCCTCAGTGACAAAAACTGGACCAAGGGATGTGCAATGTGAATAGCAAGAGAGCTTTAGGGGTGATGGAAACAAGAATAAACTTTAAAAAAATAATAATTTGCCAAAGGTCACATGGCTGGTTCTGATACTGTCCCTTTGACATCAGTCTTATCTATCACACAACACCACATAGTTGAATACAGATTAAAGTTTACAAGGCTAGAGTGACCAACCTAGCCCCGTGTTACAGAACATTTCTTTAAGAAGGAGGTATATTTTTAAAAAACCTCCAAACCAACAGTGTAGTTATCAACAAGAAAATATATTTTTTCTGTAGAGCCTTGTCTGTTAAGACTATTGGCCTTGACAGATTGTGCTATGCTAAAGCACTTTCCCCTGCTTGTCAAAAAGAAAAGAAAAACAAAGATGACCCTATGGCATTATTTCTCAAGATGTGTGCTATGGCAGATGACTGAATTAATTGCTCCAATTCTTCATCTCCAGTCTCCAACCCCCATATCCTTACCCTTGGCTTTGGTGCCTACTAGAGAGGCAGAGTCTACTTGATCCCTTGAATCAGGCTGGATTAGTGAGGTGCTCTTGCTAACAGAATGCGGGGAAAGCACTGTTGTCCCAATCCTGAGACTAGAGCTCAAGAGAAAGAGTGTTTCTTGTACCTCCACCATTGCCATGAGAAAATGCCTAGGCTAGCCCGCTGGAGAAGGGGAGGCACCAGGGGCAGAGCAGGATTTCCCGAGTTGGCCAAGCCATGCAGGCAAGCCCAGCCAAGATCAGCAGAGTTGCATCTCATAGGCCACTGAGGCCTCACTGGCTTTGGACAATAGATACTGATGGAGTGTTACCGGTATTTTGTGGGAGGCACTTGATCATTATGGGGACCTGTCCCGCATATTGATGGTTCGCCTGACCACTGAATGCCCATAGCACTTTCCAGATGGCCCTGTGCAACTCCAAAGGTAACCACATGTTCCCAAATGTTGCTTGGGAACTGGCTGAGATCCCATGATCTATGAGACATTCTCAGTTGTCTTTAAAATGTTTAACTTTTAAAAGGATGCAATCAAGAATATTCCTTAGATTTACAAGTCAATTCCATGTCCCTGTCTATCTGAAGCTTCCCATCATGCCAACAGTTTAACGAATACAAGACTAGGAGGCTGGAATTCTCATTCCATCTAAGATCCTGTGAGCCCACTGACCCTTTCTGACCTGCAGAATGACACTCAGATTTCCTTGTTGAGAACTGCAGACACACTCTCTGACCCATCACCCCTCTCTACAATACCCTGCATTCCCTCATCCCACTCTTTTCAACCTAAAACACCTTCTATTTATCTTTCAAGATTCAGCCTAGATGGCACCTTCTCTGTGAGACCTCTATTGACCCAGCTAGGTAGAACTGGTCCATTTCTTCTCTGTGCTCCAAGGGCACTCGATTCGTAACTCCATTAAAGCACTTGTCAACTTGAACTGAAATCACTGAAGGGCAACTTCCCTGGCGAGACTGTGACACTTGACTGTTGCCTCCAGGACAGTGTCTGGCACATGACAAGTGCTCACCGTTCACATGTTGCATGCATGAAAAATATCTGCTATACACAAAAAGACGATAATCTCTGTGAAGTTAAGGCCTGTCCTTCCCGTTTTCCTTTTGTGTCCTCTAACTATAGGCACAGGTGGTGATGAATAAGCCCATTCTTAAGTCCATTAATTGTTTCAATATTTGCAGTTCAAGGGTCTGTGATGGTTAGAAAGGTTTTGGAGAGCAAATAAGCACGGTCCAGGAGCCACGAAGGTACACGTGATTTTCCTTCCTCCCCAGGGTCTCCGTGAGGCATCTTCAGCCTCATCTGACAGTTGAGAAGGCAGTTTCAATCTTGAGGTCACTTAGGGAGGACAAAGCCAGGCCTGTGCCCCTACACCACTACACTGTCTCTCAAGGAAAGATGCTTGCTTAACCTCAGGTGAAGACACAGACACAGCCCAGTGGCTGAGGTTACTGGTTCTATTCCCCTCTTGCCTGGCTGATTTTGGGTGAGTGACTTCATCTTCCTGAACTTCAGTGTCCTCCACTGTAAAATGGGAATGACAACCATAACTTCCCAGAGATTGCAGTGGATTATAGTGTTTGGAGCAAAGAAAAACGCAACAGATGGCATGTATTATCATAATTAACTTAGCGCAGTTAGGAAAGTGAGCCACCTGGGCCTCTGAAGACACCTAGGTGATACTTTTTGTCCTCACACCTCACCTGAAGGAGACTGTGTGGCAAAGGCCTGGTGGGCAGGGAAGGCGGGGCTGGATGATGTACCTTTTTCCAATTCTGAGCCAGGGCAGCCCTTCCAGTCACAAATATCAGAGTCCCCACATCCTTCTGCCTTAGCAGCTCAAATATGCCTGGAAACCATGATGCTGCCTCACAGGAGGAAACCTAACCAACTCTCTCCTCCTCACCTCCCTCACCCACACTGCAAAAGAGCGCAGGCAATTAGTCCCCACTGGAGAATAAACACCTGCCACATTCTTTGCAAGAGCAGGATTGGCAATGTTTGTTTCATTTTGTGCTTTTGATGTGCTGACAAGAGCACATGGCTTCCAGTTCAATACAGAAGAGAGTGGTGACGTGTGTGGATGTGTGAGTGTGGGGGTACACAAGCAGGTGAAGGAATGGGTCTTTCTTTGACGAGGCTTCACACCAGTAGTAGGTCCTCACCATACGAGAACGAGCAGTATTAATTATCAGAAGATGAGATATTCGTCTGTGAACAGAGGTTTTTCTTCCTCTTTGTGAATTGGAAGAAAAGACATTCCAAGGTAAATGGTGTCAGAAGTCATTCTCTAGGGTGCACCCATTGGAGTAAGTTCCTAAGAGCAGGAGTTGTACTCCATTCATCTCTGAAACTGGAATCTCTAGAGCATCCTGTGAGCTCAGCAAACCTGTTGGATGTGCTCAGCCACTGTGTGTCGGGAGATGGGGGCGTGGTCAATAGAAATGCTCGTACAGCCTGCCCTATCTGGGGGTCGACCAACAGTCCTGGGCTCTGAACTCTATGGTACCAATAATGAGATTCAGTGGCATCCACATCCCAAGCTCACCTGTGGCTATCACAGTGCTTAAAGGGTAGGGACTAGGGAATACTGTTGTCCCCCAGCCACATAGGGTATAGAGAGCATGACAGGTATGCTGCCCAGTACACATGTCCACAGGACTCTGGACCAGACAACTGTCACCCTTGAACTTCAGTGTTACATTTCTCATCAGCACGGTGGTTTGCACCTTTATCCAGTACATACAAACTGGGTACTGACTACATGAGTGGTGTAGTCCTAAGTGGTTTCAGGTGCATTGCTTCAGTGATCTAATCTTTTAGCACACATCTCTGTTTTACAAAGGAAGAAGCTGAGGCTCAGGTTTCAGGAATCTGCTTCAGCTAGCAGGAAGCAATCCAGGATGAGAATCTGGTCTTTGGACCTCAAACAGGACATTTCACCACACAATTACTTCTCCCCAGGGGATAGACGTGAGAATCAAATGAGATGGTGGAAGAC